GTGAGTTGCAACTGGAAGCTGTGGTGGAAAATCCTTTAAATATTTTTCATATCTTTGTAGTTATTGAGGATGTTAATGACCATGCCCCTCGATTCAGTAAAGATGAAATAAACTTAGAAATTAGTGAATCCGTTAGTCCGGGGATGCGAACAATTCTTGAGTCTGCAGAAGATCCTGATATTAGCCTGAATTCACTGAGCAAATACCTACTAAGTCCTAACGAGTATTTCTCATTGGTGGTGAAAGACAATCCCGATGGTGGCAAATATCCAGAATTAGTATTGCAGAAGACTCTGGATCGAGAAACTCAGAGCACTCACCACCTAGTACTGTCAGCCTTAGACGGTGGAGACCCGCCCCAAAGCGGCACTGCTCAGATCAGAATCCTGGTAGTTGATGCCAATGACAATCCCCCAGTGTTCACCCAGGAAGTGTACAGGGTCAGCCTTGGGGAAGAAGTGCCTCCAGGAACCTCTGTCCTGAGGGTAAGGGCCACTGACCAGGATGAGGGCATCAACTCAGAGATCACTTACTCTTTCCTGGGAGTGGCTAACAAAAGTCAGCTTGTCTTCTCTCTGGATTCTACTACAGGAAGCATTGTAACTCATCAGCCCTTGGATTTTGAAGAAGTAGAAAGATATACAATGAATGTAGAAGCAAAGGACCGAGGATCTCTCTCAACACAGTGTAAAGTTATTATAGACATTCTAGACGCAAACGATAACAGCCCAGAAATAATCATCACTTCACTCTCTGATCAGATTTCAGAGGATTCCCCTCCAGGAGTTGTTGTGGCTCTCTTCAAAACGCGGGACCGAGATTCTGGAGAAAATGGAGATGTCGGGTGTAGTTTAAGTAGGGACGTTCCATTTAAGATTCATTCTTCTTCTAATTATTACTACAAGCTAGTAACAGATGGGGCCCTTGACCGGGAGCAGACCTTGGAGTACAACATCACCATAACCGCCACTGACAAGGGTAAGCCACCCCTCTCCTCCAGCAAAACCATCACCCTGCACATCGCAGACGTCAATGACAACGCTCCAGTTTTCGAACAATCCACCTACCTGGTCCATGTGCCAGAAAACAATCAGCCAGGTGCCTCTATAGCTCAGGTCAGTGCCTTCGACCCTGACTTTGGGCCCAACGGTCGCGTCTCCTATTTCATCATTGCCAGCGGCCTGGGGTCGCAGGAAGCATTGTCCTACCTGTCGGTGAGTGAGGAGAGTGGGGTGGTGTTCGCACAGCGCGCCTTTGACCACGAACAGCTGCGCACCTTCGAGCTGACACTGCAGGCCCGCGACCAAGGTTCGCCCACGCTCAGCGCCAACGTGAGCCTGCGCGTGTTAGTGGGCGACCGCAACGACAACGCGCCGCGAGTGCTGTATCCAGCGCTGGGGCCCGATGGCTCAGCGCTTTTCGACACGGTGCCGCGCACCGCGGAGCCCGGCTACCTGGTCACCAAGGTGGTGGCGGTGGACGCCGACTCGGGGCACAACGCCTGGCTGTCCTACCACGTGCTGCAGGCCAGCGATCCCGGGCTCTTTAGCCTTGGCCTGCGCACGGGTGAGGTGCGCATTGTTCGCGCTTTGGGTGACAGGGACTTGGTCCGCCATCGCCTGCTGGTTGCTGTGCGAGATGGAGGACAACCGTCTCTTTCGGCCACTGCCACGTTGTACCTGGTCTTCGCTGATAGCTTGCAAGAGGTACTACCGGACCTTAGAGACCATCCCACGCCCTCTGACCCCCAGGCGGAGCTGCAATTTTACCTGGTGGTGGCTTTGGCCTTAATTTCTGTGCTTTTCCTTCTTGCAGTAATTCTGGCCATAGCCCTGCGCCTACGACAGTCTTTCAGCCCTACTACTGGGGGCTGCTTTGGATCAGTTTTCTGCTCCAAGTCTGAACCTGTGGTTCCCCCCATCTACAGTGAGGGAACGTTGCCTTTTACCTATAATTTGTGTGTGCCGGGGGATCAAACTAACCCAGCACTTAATTTTCTCACATCCGTTGAACATTGTCCAGCCACACAAGATAATCTCAACAAAGACAGCTCTTCAGTGCTATTGGCTAGCATTTTAACTCCTAATGTTGAAGCAGATAAGAAGACTTTTAAACAGGTACGTATTTAAAATAATGCTTTTTGTATGCCAGTATATGATGCCCTATAGTGATGCTGTTTCAAGATTGTAAATAATCTTTTCACAGAGTTCCTAAAACAAATGTAAGTCAAATCTATGGTTATCGCTGTTAAGACAAAATTTAAAATGCCTCAATCCCCCTGCTATTCAAAGGCAATTAAAAGTAAAATACGTGGACAAGATCAGGTGACATTTTCATTAACTAGAATGTTTTTTGCTTAAAAATATTGACCACAGACATATTTTTACATTTTATATTGTGGTATTTAAAATGACAGTCCTAATGTTATTTAAATTGTCTCAAATGTTTCACTTTTATTTTATTCAATAAAGAAACACTGGTAGGAATCAGAGTCATGCATCCTACCTGATCGTTTTTGTCGGGACCGTGCTATTTTCACATACAGAAAACACTGTTCCTTTCCGTGGACAATAAATTAGAATCAATTCTAACCTAGAAGTTTTCAGTTCCAGTAGTATTTTGAAAGCTTTTTTAAAATCAAGCAAGCCCTTTTAATAATTACTTTCTTCATAAATACTCTTGGTAAGTTTTTAACAGCACATTATATAGCAGCTATTATATATAACTACTTTAAGCTTTACAAATACGCGTAATTCACAAAGGAATGAGTGTGTAATCGTTTCTTCTGGAACTTGCGCCTTAGTATTTTTCCGAATCGTTGCAATAATAAGATTGGGCTCTAGGCGCCGCTGCTCACTAATCAGGAAAATGGGGAGCTGCGGGCTATCGAGCTCCTCCCTCCCCCACGTCTACCACACAAAGCAGGATGAGATGGATACTCACAGATCCTGATGCTGGAAACTTAAAAGCACTTCCTTCCCTTTCTGTTATATTTTGGTTGCGGACAGCCTGAGAGTTTATAAGCCGATTCAGAACCGGCTGAAGAAACCGCGGAATATCAACTCAGACCTTGCCATGGCGAATCTACGGCGACTGGACCGAAGCAGGCTAGTCTCGCTGTGCATTTTCCTGGGGACGCTGTGGCAGTTCGGGGCAGGGCAGATCCGATACTTGGTGCTGGAAGAGACGGACAACGGCTCCTTCGTAGGCAACCTCGCCAAGGATCTGGGTTTGGAGCCCTGGGAGCTAATCGAGCGCGGAGTCCGCATCATCTCTAGAGGGAAGACGCAGCTTTTCGCTCTGAATCCGCGAGATGGCAGCTTGGTCACTGTGGGTAGGATAGACCGGGAGGAGCTCTGTGAGACGGTGTCCTCCTGTTTCTTAAATATGGAGATTCTTGTGGAAGACACCTTGAAGATTTACGGAGTGGAGGTGGAAATAATGGATATTAATGATAATGCCCCCAGCTTCCAGGAAAAAGAAGTAGAGGTAAAAGTTAGTGAGCAGGCAACTCCTGGATCGCGATTTCCCCTTCCTAACGCTAGAGATCCAGACGTGGGAATGAATTCCCTCCAGAGCTATCAGCTCAGCACTAATACTTACTTTTCCTTGCAAGTGAGAGGCGGAACTGATGGAGCCAAGAATCCCCAGCTAGTGCTGGAAGGAAGCCTGGATCGAGAGAAAGAGGCTGCTCACCTCCTCCTCCTCACAGCTTTAGATGGAGGAGATCCCATCCGCAAGGGCTCTGTTCCCATTCGTGTGGTGGTCCTCGATGTAAATGACCACATCCCAAAGTTTACACAGTCTGTATATCATGTGAGTGTTCCAGAAAACCTCGGCTCTGGAACTCGGGTGCTGGTGGTAAATGCAACGGACCCAGATGAGGGAATCAATGGGGAAGTGATGTATTCATTTAGGAATACAGAAAGCAAAGCTTCTGAAATGTTCCAGTTGGATTCCCAAACTGGAGAAGTTTTAGTACGCGGGTCTCTGGATTTTGAGAAATATAGATTCTATGAGATGGAAATTCAAGGCAAAGATGGCGGAGGTCTCTTGGATACCGCTAAGATTTTGATCACAGTTGCAGATGTGAATGATAATGCTCCAGAAATCACTATCACCTCTTCCACTGATTCAATTCTAGAAAACTCTCCTCCAGGTACAGTAATTGCTCTACTAAATGTGCAAGATCAAGATTCTGAAGAAAATGGTCAGGTCTCCTGTTTCATTCCTAACCACTTGCCTTTTAAATTAGAAAAGACTTATGGAAATTATTACAAGTTGCT